CATTAAACAAGCAACAAAAAATGGAAGAAATAAATAGAAATAATTAAAATACATAGACACACACACTAAACTATATCAACAGTCTTTACTTACAAGACTTTTGAAAAATGTGAGGACAAACTGCTGGGGTCCAAATGTAGACACAACACGAGAAATCAGATCCTTGTAGGACTTCTGTGGGATGTTGGTCTCAAAGGACACATACGAGAACTCAGGCTCAGGCGTTATGTGGATAGTCATGTATCCACCCTGTGATTGGGAGAAAACAAAGGATAAATGTAATTATTACATCAAGATTCAACCTACCCAAACATAATGAGTGACTTCAAACAAATTCTTTCATATTCATTATAATCTTTTGAAGACAACATCCATCAATTATATTACCATGTTGTCATGAATTTAACAAAATATTTTTGTTCAATCAAGTGTCTACCATTTTTCCACAATGAATATTCTTCCAAGACTAATATAACCATCACACATATAATTTAGTTTACATATGACCATGTATCACTTGATTCAGTAATAATGATCTGGAACAGTAGGACTTACTGGCACACTGCGCATCAGCCCATTCATGGAATATCCACATGGATCAAATTGGAAGTCATCAATCATGACATCTGGGATGAGACGATCAATGCCCGATTTCTGTAAAACAACTTCTTTTAAAAAGATGCAACAATAATGCATTTACCACAGAACTCTACAAAAAATCAAGAGATATTGCTAGGTTGTGAAATGTTTTGTGAGTGAAAACTTAACTCTATGAGAAAAGAAAGGTAAAATCAATAGTTGTTTAAAAAATAAAAAATAAAAAAAAATCTGAAAGAATGGTGTTTTATACAACTATGACACTTCCATGTTTGCTTAATTTACAGTAGGATTTATGATTTGCATAAATACCTTGGACTGACTTCTGTACAATGGCATGTACACAATAGAGTTTCCACTCTGGGTGCTAAGGACACTAACACTGGCTTCTTTCAAGAGGGTAGTATATATGTTTTACTATCACTTTGTGAAGAGTTTAGGAAACTGCTATCACTAAGATCATACAACCTTCATACTATTGTATTGCTATCTTTGAGTAAACATTTTTGCCTATTTGAAACTTGCTTGAAAATTCTCAATAGATATGAGCTGCATATATATATAGTATATATAGAGGTATACTCCTCCAAGCTGTAGTATAGACGACAGTCCATGGCTTTAGATTTAAATGCGATAGTACATTAAAATGAGTATCATATAATATATCTAAGATATATAATATCTAAATTTGTTTTACCTTTGTGGCCTCAGCAGCCGTAGGACAAACTTCTTTATAGAACCATTTCATTTTTTCCGGATCCAAGTTCATCATCAGCACCTCTAGCGTCTGATCTGGCTCACGGTGTGCTTTCCCCAGCCTATAGTGAATATGTGTAAAACAAATAAGTAAACATATGATCTACAGCTAATAAATAATGAAACAGGAGAATCACCTTTATCACTACCAGTTACATACAATTATACTGATTAGCTGAATGTATGTGCTCTCTCACATAGTAAAGGTCAACTTGGCATCTCAAACTCATTCATCTTTACATAAAGAGAGTGTTGATTAAGTTCAAGTAAATCTCACACTCACATATGAATTTCCTTCTGTTATAACGAAAATCAAAGAGCTTTGGACTTTCTACAGACATGAAAATCTGTGTTAAAAAGCCTTCTACAGACCTATTATGAGGAAGATTCTGACGAGCAGCATTAGGATGATAGCGAGAACGTCCTGGTGACACAGTGTACAAGTACCAGCAGTCAGGACGGTTGACACTTCCCATGCAGTAAGCTCGACCCCCTGCAACAAACAATTTAGATTGATATTGTCACTCTACTGTAAAGATTCTAATATGATAGTGAATGATGAATATGATAGTGAATGCTAGTTATGAAAAAAATGATTAAAACTAAGGAGCTTTTTACAACTTTCAGAAAAGCATATAAAAAAAGCATCACTTTCTTTTATTAACCACAAACATCTAGTTTATTTCCAAAGGATATTCCCTCATACCTGGGTACATCTGATCCAGGATGGACACTTCCTCCTCAAATGTACGATGAGGAGACACCTGAAGTTCTGGCCTCTTGAAATTCTTACGGGTATAGTAGAGGTCCTGTTTAGGAGCAAAAAAAAGTCACGAGTCAGAATCAGCCAATCCATTTTGATGCTAGCAACAAGGGAAGGTGCTGATCCCAACCCAGAACAAGACTGTGAACCTTGTTCTGTCTTTAAAACGATCACAATATGATCCTTTGGCTTTCAAAACAAGGTCCACAAGCCATTCTGTACTGGTCCCCTCACAGAGTTGTAGCACCGGGATACTAGCGCTATCACACAGGCCTGGAGATGCATTAGAATACCTTCACATGTGAATTAAATATTTCAATCTGGATGGCATCCTAATAACATTCTACTTTAAATGTCGGAATGTGAAAATGACAATTGGAAAAT